CCTTGATGATCTAGTTTAAAAATGAACAAGTTGAAATGAAATAGAGGTAAAAATTTGGATAAGTCTTTAGATTTATCTGATAGAAAAATTTAGTGCATGATGATATTAGTGGTTTAATGATTGCTGTTATGTTTAGGTGATGAAGCTGGGAATGCAAGGATGATTTATATATACTAACATTTTATGATCAAGTCAACTACTTTTTATTTTTTATTTTTAATAAATATATTTTTCAGATATCTTTTTCAATTTTACTGCAGATTTGGAAGGAACGAGTTGAGATGTTTTTATATATCGTTATTGTACAATAATAAATAGGATTTAGTACCTGTAATAATCATTGAAGATTTTTCTTCGAGGGTTCTATGTTTGCAAATAAAAATCTAAATTCCTTGCTAGTAAAATTCTAAATATGAATGTTTGGTCTAAAAGTTTTTGATATTGTTTTTGTCTAATTCTAATCTATCTGTTAGTTCTAGGCTAATTTGTTTGTTCAGGTCTTGATCGAGACTTATGGTCGCACCAGATGAGTTAGGTTCGAGGTGTAACTCAGAGTAATTTCGGATAGGGTACTCGTCTGCTCGTCACGCTATCTTATTTTCGGCCGGATAGATTCGTGCAACTTCTTAGTCTAATACCGATCCTAATATTACTCTTTCATCTACTAGTCTCAGGGTGTTTAACTAGTCTCTGCTAGGCTCAATAGATCTTGAGTATACTGGCTTATTGCGATTGCTAAAGTTCTCTTGGAGAGGTAACTAATTTCTAAGTTAAATTCAAATTTCTCTGGTGCTGAAATTACAAGTAATTTCAGCACTTACAATTAAGTGTATTGTTAGTTAGATGGATCGGGATTGGTTAATATTAAATATTTTATAGTGATAGATTATCCAATGTATAACCAAAGAATAAATATAGTTTTTATCTGGTTCCAAAATGCTAAATAATTGATGAAACACTTCGTAGTTTAACATTCATACGTATCTTCTGTCATCGGGTCAAAATCTTGAATGTTCTAACAGTCCTTAAAATTCACGAAAACGCTTTTTATGATAAAGTTAACCCGATTTGAGAAAACTGCTTTAATGGATATTTCTTTTGTTGCGCTGGAAAATCTGAAAATTAAATTCCGTATTTGAAACTGAAAGTCAGTTACGTTTTTTGTGACCTTTAATATTCTGTTGTTTGTTAGTTGATTTGCTGTCCTTTTAAAAAATTATATGACCTGTACTTCTAACAGAGTATATAAAAAGTAGTCAGAAGTCAAACCGCGAAAAATCAAATTTGAGCCTGAACAAATTTTAAATTTAATAATTTTCCTGAAAAACAAAAAATATGTTCAAGATCTGAATAAGAGTCCTAAGTACATTCAATCACTCTGAAAAAAACTGTTCTGATTTTTTTTGAAATTTTCCTACACTAGCTACGTTAAGTACAAAATGATGTAATTAGCGTCTAGCAACTCATTTGTAATTCCAAAAAGCTGGCCTTAATTGGTGACAAAATCTGAGCCTGAATACATTGCCGCTCACTCGATAACAGAACAAAATATATAGTGAATTTTTCTAATTCATCTAAACTGTCATTTTTCAAAAAAAAATCAAAAATTTTTTTGAACTATATGTTTTTTTTTGTGATCTCTTTTGTGTTCTCTTTTTCAATTTTAGATTAGTTGAACAGTGGAAACTTGGCAAAAATATTTTAAAAAACTCGTCCCAAAGAAACCTTTGAACATTTTTAGTACCCTTCAGCGTCGATGCACAGATTTTTGCTTTGAAATATTGATGAAAAATGTGTAAGAAAATTGTAAACCTTTAAAAGTTTATGCAGATTATGCATCAGAAAAAGTGATTTAAGTTAACGCAATAATAAGAGCAAGTTGCTCGCCTCCGTTTAATTTAGAAAGTGCAGTTTTTCAATAGATCTAAATTTATGGCGCGTTAAATTATCAAATTTAAATAGTATAGTGCTGATTTAAATTTTTCAAACAAAACGCATGAATTTTGAAATTTAAAAACGCTTTTTTTTTTTCAAAATGGGTTAACGTTAGGTAAAACCTGGACGAAGACTTTACTTGTGTAATAATTTAGCAAAATTCTTATGGTGCTATTTTTTAAGGAAAATGAGCCCAAAGCTCTAACACCAAACGGATAAAAACTCCTTGCTTTAGTCAATCAAAAATTAGGCAAGAACAGGGGATCAATTTCTTAGAAAACTTTTTTCGAGTAGGCCTCTTACAAAACCAACAAAATCTGAGTTGGTTATAATTTCCAAAAATTTGTTCAAAACGTTTCGAAGAAATAGTAATTTATATCGTAAAAATTATCACGACCTATATAAGAGCCTGACAATTTACGCTTTCAATTAACAAGCCTTATCAAATCGGGAAGAACACTTTTTTTGGAGTTTATAATTAGTTTAACAAAGTCAGTTATTCATATGCTGGCATGAAGAGGCATATGATACTGCTATTCAGTTGACAAGCTCAATTTCATGATTATTCAATTTGAACTACTTAGTGACTACTAGTTACTACAAGGTGGTTCTACTGGGGACTTGAAAAATTAAAAAGTTTTCATATAAAATCAATTTTTTCCGCTCAATTGGTGTCTGCTCAAAGATTGTTGTTCTTTTTTTCCACTTCGTAAAATTTTTTCAGTTGCTAATTTGAATTTCAAATTTCTCGCATGGCATTTTTGCCTAGAATTCCTGTTTAATAAAAACAATTATTATGAAAAAATTTGGGATTGGGTTGTTTTACTTTTTTCGCAACCGATTTTTACAAAATGGTATCCATTGAATGCCCGCCTTCACGTTTGTGCGCCTGCATCCTCCTCTAATCTTTTTTTTTGCGTTATCTATTTTATTTACAGACTTCGGAAACGTAGGTGTGGAATATTTGACCAATATTTTAGATTTCGTTTTTCGTTTTTTCAATATGAAAAGCTAACAAATCTGAAATTTTGGTTTTGATGAAAAAAACTGATTGAAAAAGCTCCCCTCCTTAGTAAGCTACGCTCAGATTTTTTACACAAAAAATTATGGCCCAAGGAGTAGATAAATTTGGGATTGGGTTGTTTTACTTTTTTCGCAACCGATTTTTACAAAATGGTATCCATTGAATGCCCGCCTTCACGTTTGTGCGCCTGCATCCTCCCCTATTCTTTTTTTTGCGTTATCTGTTTTATTTACAGACTTCGGAAACGTAGGTGTGGAATATTTGACCAATATTTTAGATTTCGTTTTTCGTTTTTTCAATATGAAAAGCTAACAAATCTGAAATTTTGGTTTTGATGAAAAAAACTGATTGAAAAAGCTCCCCTCCTTAGTAAGCTACGCTCAGATTTTTTACACAAAAAATTATGGCCCAAGGAGTAGATAAATTTTTGAGTTTTTTTAACCGTGTTTCGAATCTTTATAAATTTTTGTTCGAAAAGAAACCTTCCAAATTTGAGGCAATGGGTTCATTAGAGAGACCGGAAGCACCCTGCATTACATGCGAAAAACAATATTCTACACGAAAAGTAATCGTCCTCGGAAAAGTCAATTTTTTGATTTTTTGAGCGTTTGGTTTCTGAATTTTAAACCAAAAAATACCATCGCATATGAAGTTTTGGATTCAATCCACGGAACGGATTGTGGGAAGTTCTTTAGCATGCGCAATTGCGCCCAAAATTTTTTGACACAAAATTTTCTGGTCCTCGGAGAAGTCATAGTTTGGATTTTCTCGAGAACTACCCAAATTACAGGTTGAGTGAATCTGCTCTGCATAAGCGGGTACGCTCAATTTTTTTAAACCGAAAAGCTATGGTTCTCGGAAATCTCAAGTTTGTTGACCGGGTTTTGATTTTCTCAAAAACTATCTCGCCAAATCTGATATCATAGGTTTATCGAGAGACCAGTTTTTTGAAATCTTACGTTTAAAATTTGCTACGCCCAATTTATTTTAGAAAAAAATTATTGACTTCAAACAAAAGAAAATTTCGAATCTTTGACCATTTTTTGGAAATTTTGACCCTACTCGAAAATCACCGTGCCAATTTTCAGGTTACGTGTTCAATCGAGAAACCCGATTATGGGAATTATCTCTGCTTTACAAGCCACGGCTTGCATTTAGCAGAATAAAGTTACAAATTTCGGAAAAGTTAAAGCTTTTTTAAGAAGTTTTTTTAGTTTTTGTAAAAACTATCATATCAAATTTGAGATGAAACTTTTAATCAAAAGAAACGGTTGCGCGAATTTTTCCTGCAGAAGCGGCTACCCCTCAAATTTTTTCTCAGAGAAAGTTCCAGAATCTCAAAAGGTTTCACTCTCATTTATCTTAAAAGAGATAAAAATTAAGATCTTAAGCAAAGTCCAATTTTTGCATTTCGTCACGTTTCAGTATAACAAATTCAGAAAATATCAAAAACGTAAAATTTATTGTGTTGTATCGCAAGTGGTGCGAAGCTCAGCTTCGCCCCTTTGTAAACAAAAATAAATTATTTCTACAAATGTTTTGAGATCATACCCCTGCTAAAAGTTGTTGAAATACATCAGATCCTCACTTTGACATAATTTTTGTCAACGAAGATCTGGCATTTTCGACGTAATTTTGGGTTGACTAAAACGAGTCAAAAGCAATCGGCTTGAATATTTTAGGCCCGAATTCTGCAAACACATCCACCATATTGATTCTAAGCAAAATTTTTTGTCATCTTTTTTCACCCAATGTCGACCCAACCCAATGTGAGAAAAAAGCTTTTTAAATTTGAAGTTTTGTTCTCCATATTTAAACTTTTAGATAGTTTTTCTTTAAACGCAATTACCACTTTGATCCAATCGAGTGGAAGTCATTAATTAGCTACTTAATTCTGTGCTCCGTGTGATAAATGAAAAGCGATCGTAGATCGAAAGCAAAAAAGTGTGTTTTTAAACTCGTTCGTAATAAGAAAAATATTTCTTGAATAATTGAAAAAAATTGGAACACACTCATTAAAATTTGAACGTGCTATCCTAACCGACTATAATATTGAGAAGAATGTAGACTAGGAGTCTGAACCAGTAGAGTCCAGGATGCAAGATGCCATTCCTCAGACTCCTCTTTGTCAGCAGACCAATCTGAAGTTCATTATTCATAATCATTACACAAATTATGACTGATCAAGCTAAAATTAATCATCACGAATAAACTTTTTTAGGATAAATTTGAAAG